TCTCTCTCTCTCATTCTTTCTTTCTTTCTTTCTTTCTTTCTTTCTTTCTTTCTTTCTTTCTTTCTTTCTTTCTTTCTTTCTTTCTTTCTTTCTTTCTTTCTTTCTTTCTTTCTTTCTTTCTTTCTTTCTTTCTTTTTTTTTTTTTTTTAATTTTGGTACCGGGGATCAAACTCGGGACCTTGCGCTTGCAAGGCAGCAGGTGGCACCACTGAGCTAAATCCCAGCCCCAAGTTTATCTTTCTTTATGGCAGCATAGTTCTCCATGGTGTATAAATACCACATTTTCTTCATTCTTCTGTTCGTGGACATATATGCTGTTTCTAAGATCACGCTATTATAAATTTTGCTGCTGTAAACATGCTGTGCAGGTATCCCTATATTTTAACACTCTAGGGAATATACCTAGGCGGGGGATAGCCGAGTTAAATGCAATTTCTACTCTTAGTTTTTAAGGAAATTCTACACTGATTTCTGTAGTGGTTGTACTAGTTTACATAATGCTAAGTGAACATTGAGAACATAATGTTAAGTAAAATAAGTAAGACACACAAGCTCAAATATGGCATGGTTTCTCTTATATGAAAACCATTATATATATATGTAGGCTATAATAAATTAGAAAGAGGAACTTTTTTATTTTATGAAAAAATGTATAGACAAAGATAAAGAGCAAAATAGTAGAGAGATAAATAAGAAACAGAGAGACGTTCAAATAATTTTCCAAAATACATAGTCTGTTGTTTTAAGAATATTTCAAGATAAGCTGGGCATGGTGGCACACACCTGTAATCCCAGCACTCAGGAGGCTGAGGCAGGAGGATCGCTGTGAGTTTGAGACCAGCCTGGGCTACATAGTGAGTTCCAGGTCAGTCTCAACTACATAGTGAGACCCTGTCTCAAAACACAAAAAAATATTTTCTTCAATATATATGCTAATTTGTTTCATTTATACTAAAAGTTTATCTTAGTTTTTTAAAAAGAAAGCTTGCATTATTTGTTTCTTTTGGTTCATGTCTTGTATCAAGTAACTATTTTGAAGATGATATACAATGTAATAACTATTGTTATTCTTTTATTGTCTGGTTATTTGTTATGGCTTAGGTCTAGATGTCCCCCCAAGGCCTCATGGGGTCATAGATGGGGCTTTCTCAGAGGTAGCTGGACCTAGAGTGTGTGATGCTGGGATTAAGGGTGTGTGATTACTAAATCAGTCCACTGATTTGTTTGGCTCCACTCTAATCCCAGTAGTCTGGATACAACATGGAAGGGGCAGAAAGACACTTTCTAAATTCTCTTACTTGCTTGCTGCTTGCTGTGTTCTGCCAGCCATGAACTATTTCTCCTCTTAGATGCCCCTCTGCCAAGCCACCCTGCCTTAGAGCCAGCTGATTATGGTCTGAAACCTACAAACTGTGAGCCACATAAACTTTTCCTTCTTTAACTTTGAGTGTCAGGTATTTTGTCTGAGCCATAAGAAAAGTAACTAAAACATTATGATTTTATTTATTTATTTTTTTTGGTACTGGGGACCAAACTCAGGTCCTTGTGCTTGTGAGGCAGGTTGCGGAACCATTGAGCTAAATCCCCGGCCCTATGAAATTATTTTTTCATAAAATAAAAAGAAAAAATTCCTCTTCTTAGTTTATTATAACCTACATTCTGTAGGACATAAAGTATCCTGGACCTAAGTTATGTCCTGCTCCATTTCCAATCCAAAATTTCAAATCTAGCTGTAGATCTACAAATGGAAAGACCACTGGCACCAGTACCAGAGAAACTAGCAAAAATTACTTGCTCCTTCTCCCTAGGAGAACATGTTTGGTTTTTGAAAGATCCTAACCCAAAAGTTTTACTCTACAGTGTCCCTTAAATCTGACCTATGGAAAATCTGGGTGTCAGGACATATTTTAAAAGAGAAATATATCACAAAATTATAAGTGCAAGAATGATTAAAATCTAATGTGAAATAGTAACTCCATATATTTTATATATCATATGGAATCACCCAGGAGGGCATGTGATTGTAGGGGTGGGAAAGAAAGACAGAATGAGAGACTCAGAAATCTTGTAGATACTCATGTAGTTTTAAATATACAATGTGACATGATTTGAATATTGTCTGAGTCTGTCCTCCAAGGGTTTATATGTTGGAAGCTTGATTTCCAGTGTGTCAGTATTGATAGATAGTAGATTTTAGGAGGTGGGAGGCTTGTGGAAGATAATTAGATTATGGGGACAATACCTTTAGAAGTTATCAATGCAGACATTGTGAATCAGTTAATTCTCCTGAAAACAGGGTTATTATAAGGGACTCTGGTGCTTCCCTAGACTTTTTATTCTGCATACACCACTCTCCACACTCAAATGTGCTCTCACCACTGTGCCATTTTCTGTGAGGTGAGCAGATAATTTGGGCATGCTCCTGAATCTCTAGAACTGCAAGCTAAGTAAACCATTTTCTCTGGGAAGTATTCACCCTTAAGCAGTTTGTTATAGCAACAGAAACGGGCTAATACATAAGGCTTTGTTTCTTTGTTTTCATGTTACTATGCATTTAACTTTTGCATGGATTTAATTCTTGATAACCTGAAGGCCTGGGAGAAGCAGGGAAGATTTGGTGTCCAATTATCCAAGTCTGAGCTCTTAGTATCAGTCTTCTCAGGCCTGGTTAAGAAGAAGTTTCCACCTAAGTAGAGAAAAAAATCAGAGATATAAGAATGTGCAAACTATGCTGGGGACATGGTTTTCCATCTCCAGACCACAATGGCCTTCATCTTGCTAGGTTCTCCCCTTCCAAGAACACTGAGATGTACTGCCAAGGAATTAGGGACTAAAGGTCAGGGACTCCAGGCAGGTCAACATAAGGAATTAGGACCTCATAATCCCTTTCCTCACAATTGTGAAGTAGAAAGTGCTTCTTCATTGCAAATTGGGAAAAAAATGCAACTGAAAATAATTATAATAACGAATCAGTAACATCGAGGAGTGGAGAGCCTATCTTGTCCAGATGTTCCTTTCATACAGAGTGAAAGCATGATATTGATTCCACTAAATGAATGGTGCTTTTTCTGAGGAAGGTGACTTATTGGGCCTTCCTCCTTCTTGTCCAGAATCAAGTCTCTGAAAGTATATCAATTTATTATTTATCGTGTTATTTTGTTTTTAGGTTCTATTTAAAATTGGTGTCTATTTAAAGAATATTGGGTTTCAATGTGTATATTTGGATCATGTCCATCCCCTTTATTACGCTCCCTACATCCCCTCCCCCTTATCTTTCTTTTGTCTAATAATAGTCTTCCTTCTCCTTTCATGTTGTTTTTAGATTGCTACATATTACCATCTATTTCTCTATGAATTTTAGGGACAACATGCAATACTTGTTTTTCTGAGTTTGGCTTATTTTGCTTAATATGATAATTTCCAATTCTATCCATTTTCCTGCAAATGGCAAAATTTTATTCTTTTTTATAATGAATTGTGCATATCACATTTTCTTTTCTTTTCTTTTTCTTTTTTGGTACTGGGGATCCAAGTCAGGACCTTGTGCTTTCAAGGTAGGTGCGGTGCCACTGAGCTAAATCCCTGGCTCTGTATATCACATTTTCTTTATCCACTCTGCTGATTGGCAGCTAAGTTTGTTCTGTATCTTAGCTGTTGTGAACTGTGCTGCCTGCCGTAAACATGGGTGTGCAGATATTGCTGTAGTAGCAATATTCCTCTGAGTATATACCAAGGAGTGGTACAGTTGGATCAAATGTTAGGTCTATTTTTAGTTTCTTTTTGAGAAAACTCCATTCTCCTTTCCATAGTGGGTGTACTAATTTACATTTCCACCAGTAGTTTAGAAGGGTTCCTTTCCCTTACATCTTCACCAGTGCTTATGACCTTTGGTATTCTTTTTTTTTTGCTACTGGGGATCAAACTCAGGACCTTGTGCCTGCAAGGCAGGCAGTGGAACCACTGAGCTAAATCCCTGGCTATATATATATATATATACATACATATATATGTAATTTTAA